GGCTAGCTACTATTTTGTTCAGGATTTTTTCACTTGTATTCATGAAAGAATAAACTGCAAGTTCTCTTTCTTAGAATGTTTGTGGCAGTTTTTTGCAAAAAGTTTGTATTTATCTTAAAAAAATCAAAAACCATTCTCTAGAGACATTTCTATAAGGTTGGTATTATTTTTTATTGAAATATTTTGGAGAATTTATTTATGAAGCCATGTGGGCCTGGAGTTTATTTTTTTAATTTTTATTTAAGAATTAAATTTTTTAAGGGCCTGGCACGGTGGCTCATGCCTGTAATCCCAGCACTTTGGAGGCTGAGGCAGGTGGATGGCCTGAGCTCACAGGTTAGAGACCAGCCTGAGAAAGAGTGATAACTCATCTCAAAAAATAGCCAAGTGTTGTGGTGGGCACCTGTAGTCCCAGCTACTCTGGACTGGGAGGCTGAGGCAAGAGAATCGCTTAATCCCAGGAGTTTGAGATTGCTGTGAGCTATGATGCTATGGCACTCTACCAACTGTGACAAAAGTGAGACTCTGTCTCAAAACAAAACAAAACAAAACAAAATAAAAAAAAAAAACCCAAAACTTAAATTTCTTTAATGGGACTCATCAGGTTTTCTATTTCTTATTGTGTCTATTTGGAAAAATTGTAATTTTTAAGAAATTTATGTATTTTATTTCTAATTTCAAACTTATTGGGCATAAAGTTGTTAATAAAACTATTACTGTCTCTTTAATACTTGAAAGACATATAGTCATGTCCTCTTTTTCTGTTTTTCTTTTTCTTTTTTCAGTAACCAGACGCTGAACAAAATGGCCCCTTTTTCATTCCTGATATTTTTAGCTTGTGTTTTTTTCACATTTCATTCATGAGTAGTTTCTCTCACGTTTATTAATCTTTTCAAATAACTAATTTGACTTTGCTGATTTTTCCTATTGTATTTTTTTCTATTCTATTGCTTTTATTTTTTGTTCTTATCTCTGTCATTTTCTGGTTTTGTCTTTGAGTTTAATTTGCTGTTCTCTTCTAGTTTCTGGAGATGGCTGTTTAAGAAACCTAATTTTTGCCCTTTCTTTTTTATTAATAAATGCACGTGAGACCATGTGTTCATCTCTTTGCACTGCTTGGCTGCATCCTGTAAGTTTTGATTTTTCATATTTTCATTATCATTCAGCTCATATTTTTTTAAATTTTAACTATGCTTTCTTTTTTTTTCATGTTCTTCCTTTAATGCTAAAACATTTGGTTATTTTTTAGTTATAATTTTGTTAGTAACTTTAGCTTAATTATGATTGTCAGAATACTTTTTCATCAATCTTTTGAAATTTTTTGAGGGTTACTTTTTGGCTCTGTGTCCAAATCCATTTTGGGTCATTGTTCTACTTTCGCTTGAAAATAATGTTTATTTTGCATTTGTTGAGGATACTTTCCGTATGTTCATCACTGTAGCTTTAATAAATATGTAGTTTTAATCTTCCTAATCTTTATTAATACTTTTTGTGTGCTTGTTATTGAGAGAGGTATGTTCATATTTGCACGTACAAGTATGGCCTTTATTATTTCTCATTTAAGTTTTGTCAGGTTTTGCTTTATATCTTTTGAGGCTAGGTTATTCTTTGCATGCAAATTTAGAACGGCTTTATTTTTCTAGTTGTTGATTAACGCTTTTTTCATATAAAGTGACCATAGCATTTATCTTAATGAAAACATCCCTCTGGTATTATTGCTAATTTCATCTCATACAGGATAACTCAACTAGCTTCCCTTTGGTTAATGTTTGTGGAACATGTCTTTTCCCATTCTTTTTATTTTTGTACAGTTTTTGGCCGGGGCTGGGTTTGAACCCGCCACCTCCAGCATATGGGGCTGGTGCCCTACTCCTTTGAGCCACAGGCACCACCCCCTCTTTTTCCATTCTTTAACTTTCAACCTTTTTGAGCCCTTATTTTCAAGAAGTGTGTCTTGAAGGTAACATACTTAAGTTTTGATTTTTAAAACCTATATGGCTAACTTTTGTCTTAAAATTAGAGCAGTTAGTTCAGGCACATTTTGATACTTTTACTGCTAAATTGGGATATTTGGTTTTAAATTTACCTTCTCACTCAGAGCTTTCTATTTGTTCTATATGCTTCTTGTCCTGTTCTCAACCTTTATGACAGTAGTTAAGTGTGAAAAATACTCCCTTTCCTTTATTAACTTGTTAGTGATGTCTTATTCTATTATTCTCTAGTGGTTACCACAGAGATCATAGCATGAAGTTTTGGCCTAGTTGAATCTACTTTGAACTTGTTATTTCACTATATCTTTGACAACATAAGGATTTTAGATCTTTAAATCTATCACTCCTCTTTCCTTTTGTGTTATTACTATCAGACATTTTAATTCTACATATATTTCTTAGAATAGAAGCATTATTGCTATCATTTTGAAAATCAAGATTTGCTTAAATTTACTCCTATATTTATTCTTCCCAGTGTTCTCTGTTATTCATGCATTATTGTGATTCTACTATAGATCACTTTCCTTCTCCCTGAAGAACTCTTTGTGTATTTCTTTTAAAGCGAGCCACAATAATCTTACTTAATTTTTGTTTGTCTTAAAAATTCCTTTATTTTTTTTTTTTAATTTTTGAAGAATATTTTTGTTGACTATTAAATTCTAGGTTAGCAGTTCTTTACTTCCTGCACTTTCAAAATGTTCTTTCCTTGTTTTCCGGCTTCTGTTTTTCTGATGAAAATTCAGATGCCATTCTTATTAATAATCCTTTGGAAGAAATGCACCTCACCTACATTTTATAAGCAAAGAGACCAGAAAACTATTTAAAGTCAAATAGCATGTCAAAGATTATGCTGTTGATAGTGTTAGGTCCTGAAAAATATTGTCAGATGTTTGTCTCTGAATTAAGTTGCTAAATAAAATGAAACTCCTTGTCGCAGAGGAAATGAGCAGCAATCACCCTTTGAATGTGCACGAAACAACATCCACCACCTGCTTAGCTCATTTTCTTTATTTTTTAGTTAACCTAGAGAAAACGTTTTATATTTTAAGCTTCTGTATGATATAGAATTGCTTTATTAAGTGACTTCCATTCTATAACATCCCTGGTAATATCTGAAAAATTGTTTCAGAAAGAATATGCTGGACTAGTGGATATGCTATGACTATTAAGTAGGCAAGAAAACTTGGCAGTGAAAACTAAACTTATTTGAAATTAGATAGAACTACATCTTACTATATTACATTGACAAAATCAAAACTACAAATATACCATTGCTTGTTAATTATGAGAGCTTCAATTTTTTCTCCTGGTTAGTAATCTTAATCAATCCCCAAAAGAGAGTTGATTAAAATAGGACTGTTAATTCCATTGTCTCTTGTAGGAAACATTAACTATAACATTGCAAAACGCTGTCCAGAGGACCTGGAAGAATAAATAAACACATTTCATTGCTTCGGGTTTAAATAGTTAAAGAAGTGATAAATACTTACGCTGCTATGGTGATGAGGAGCATATAACTTGACTTGAATATCAAAAGGCTGGCATAGCACACCCAAATATTAGTTGTGAAATGCATGAGAAACAGAGAACCAGCATCTGCTGCGGAGAAGATTCCCAAGGCCAACTCTCCCAGAAGATCCCAGCTGACTTTCACGTAGCCCACTGCAAAGGCTGTTAAGGCCCCTGAAAAGAATCAATGTATATTACAGCTTGTTAATCTATGTATAATAAGGTAGCACAAAGTTGTGTTAAAACCCACATTATAGAAGTGCTGAGGCACTTCCAGGCTATGGTAAAAAATGCTCCCTTAATGTGAACTTTGAATGAAAAAAAAATCACTTGATTAAGCTCTGTGAGCGGTACATATCTTTGAGTTTGGGTTTACAAATATCATAGTCTGGATAGGACCTATGGAAGCCATTTTTTTTTTCTTTCCTGTTCCTTTTGCAGATGATAAAATTCAGGCTTAGAAATCTGGTGTGAAGTAAAAACAAACCCGGACATAGATAGGAGACGCTTTGTTTGGAAGAAAGACTATTGCAGTGGAAAAAATGCTCTGACTGCAGAAATCTGCCACTGTCTCACAGTCAAACAGAAAGGGGGTTTTCTTTCATAGGACAAAAGAGGGACAGCAACTTCGCAGAGGAAGCCAGATAAGGGAGGGAAATAGTCAGCAGGGTTTGATAGGAAAGTGTCCCACTGCGGTCAGCCAATTCCCAGGAGGAGCTGATAAAGGGGGCACATTCCATATCTTGTCTGTGCTTTCTTGGTCTTAGGGTGTGTAGGAAAGAGAGGAGTCTAACTAAAGGCTGATCAAAATAAAGCAAAGAATGAAAAATGGGAAACTGAACACTTGCTCACTGGCGTGAGTTTCCTAAACTGGTGGGGCCTACTCTCGTCTACTCTATCCTTTCCTTGTGCCCTACTTCTGGTACTCAAGCAAGCACAGCTTCTCTCTCTCTGCCCTGGTCTCTATTTTCTCTCTTTTCTCTATAACATCATTAAAAATGTTTTTTTCTCAAGATCCCTGATGGATACCAAACTTCTTTTTCAAAATTCTCTCTGCCTGTTTCTCTCACATTTGTATGTTTGATCATTCTCTGCTTTATTTATCTCCATTCATTCATTCATTCACCCAGCAAGCATTTTGGAGCTTCTCTGTGGGACAATACGGTAGCAAACCTTTGTGTCCTTGCTTTGAAAACAGTACAGCCTAGTGGGGAAATTAGAGAACTAAATGTACAGTTTTCATACAGTGTGATAAGTTTTTTAAAAGAGTTCTGCTCCTAACCCAAATCTAACCCTAACCTATGGGTTCTCAACTGGGGGTGTTTTTGCCTTCTAAGGGACAGGTGACAATATCTGAAGGCATTTTCAGTTGTTAAGACTGGGGCGTGCTGGCAGTGGGTTGGAGGCTGGCGACGTTGCAGAACATCCTATGAAGTACAGGCCAGCCCCCGACAGGAAATAATTGCCTGGCCACAAATGTCAATAGTGCTAAGGATGAGAAACACCAATCCAAGCTCTGACCCAATGAAGCAAGTATTTGGAATTTTCAGGAAGAGAAACTAGAAGAATATGAGCTCAACAATGGGCCCTGAAATGTTCAATAAATAGGTGGGTGTGGAGCAACCCAACTTTAAAATAAATATCTTCAAAGTCTCATTTGATGTGAAAGCTTTGTGATGTTGAGAAAGTACATGTGCATTGTTGGGCTGACTTCAAAGACAGCTCTGGGCTCCCCCTTCTTCAGTTAGGGTATTAACTCCTGCATCAGCCCACATAGCTCTTACTCCTCGCACCTCGCTGCCTTTGAAAAGTGTTTCAAACTTCGCAAAGTACATTTTGGGAAAGAGGGGGACTGCATGGGAAAACATCTAAACCCCCCAGATTACTGTAGTGACTTAGCCAAGAAGGAAATCTGTCCCAAGCAGGAGCCCTGGGAGGGTGAATCCAGTGAATCCAGTAATGGGAGCTGGAAACCCTCAGGCCCCAGAGACCTTCTCCAGGCTGCTCTAGGTCGCTCATTCTTCTGTATTTTTCCTTTTAGACAATGGGCAATGTCAGAAACCTATTTTTTTTAAATATACATTTACTTTCCTTTAAATTTCAGGTTACTATAGGGATATGTGTTGGCTACATAGTTTGCTTTTGTAAGGTGAATGTCAGACTTACAAATGTGCTATGTACCCCTTGTGTAGGAATTGACCCATCCTCTTCTTTCCCTTCCTCCTACTTGAATTACATTGAGTTTTGCCTCTATATGAACAGACAGAATGACTCACATCGTGAAGTTCTAAAGCAACAGAGGCTGGTGTGGATGTGGAGAGAAATGAACACTCAACACTTGTTGGTGGGACTGCAAACTAGTAAACCTCCATGGAAAGTAGTATGAAGATTCCTCAACAAACTAAAATTTGATCCCGCAATCTCACTACTAGGTATTTACTCAAAGGAAAAAAAAGACATTTTGTCAGAAACACATCTTTAAACAAGGATGAAGGAGACACGTAACAGTCAACTCAAAGGAAAGCAATGAACACTCAGGGCACACACCCCCTCTGGGAAGGCCTGCCAGCCCACGGCTCACACCTTCCCTGTCCTGCAGGGATCTTGGTCTTCTGCTGCCATAATCACCATTGTCAAGGCGTCCTACTTGGGAAGGGTACTGTGTCCCTGCTTCTTACTAATGACAATGCAATAAAAGTGTAATAGGCATGAAAGGCCAAGCAGAAAATTATACAGGATAGTACAATAACTTGGTCCTGGAGAGGATTTAGAATGGGAGGTTGTAAGAGTTTATTCTGGAGTTAAATATTGTTCTAGAAGGTGTCTGGATTTGGTAGGGAAGGGGAAGCAGAGCACAGAGCATATGCTTAGAGCACAAGGCAACGAGCTTTGGCAGATTCCCATATGAAGAGTCAAGGAAAGACGCAAGTGTATTATTTGTCTTGATTGGGAATCTTTGAAATGACAAAGTAGGAGCTGTATCTTTCAAACTCCTTTACCATCATCTAAGAAAAAATGAAATATATTTTTTATATTGACTTGTATATATGTGTGTTTGTGAACAGAATTTTTGTAAAACAAAATTCTATTATTCTATTCTATTCTTTGATTTAAAAATGCTGGTCAACAACTCACTAAATTGAGTTTAAGATCTATAATCTATAAATAGATTATAATATATATTTTAGACTTGTGGGCCTTATATCCTTTTAAAAAAAACTCTTGTCACATTCTCTTTTTTTCTAATACCCTTAAAATTATAAAATTATTAGCAGTGGTGGCCCACGCTGATAGCTTTCCTACTTTGTATGAGTGATCCTCAAACCACAGTTTGAAGACTAGAATTAATGAAAGATTAGACAAAGGAAAGAATTCATTGGTTTATCTCTCAAATTGTATTTGGTCATCGTGACACCAATTTGTTGCCCCCGTTTCTAGAAATGGGTGAATCTTCCTTCCTTGTACACCTTGATCAACCTTTTATTATGTTAGTTGCCTATTTTAAATTTTGCAAGAAAACTTTCCTTTTCAAATTCTTTGGTATTCAGTGTTGAAATCACTACAACAAGGTTATCTAAGAATACAACTTAAAAGCTGTATTGATTTATTTTGAGTTCAAGAAAACTAAATAATAAAACCACTGGTTTTTAAGTAAGATACTACAGCATACAAATACTCTGGATGCATGATCTCTTTTGGTCTTAAAAGAAATATTGTGAAATATGGTCATTGATGTTGTTCCAGATTTTTAGGAGAAGAGAAATTGGATTGTTAACATGTTAATTGATTTGCCTACTTCACAAATGACAGAACATGGATAAGAACATTGAGCCAAGTGTTTTTCCACTTATTTACATGGCCTCTTCTTTATGAACAGTGAAAAGGTCACGTTAAATACATGTTAGACACTTTACTTAGCTTAAATCTTGCGATACCAGCTCTTCTTACTAACTTATTTTTGTCATGGCTGTATAGCACTAGAATGCATTGTTTAGAGTTGGCCTAACAGGCCAACAGGTCTAGCTTTCTACCATGGAGTGTCTTAGCTACCTAGAGCAGTACAATTTCCTGCACATTGATAAGATAAAGCTTTGTGTACTTACCCCCAAAGGTTGCGAGGGCTTCCACTGCCCCATTGTATATTGTAGAACTTTGAGATGGTGCCTTGTAATCCCATAGGATTTGAACATAACTTAAAACCTGGTTAAAACCTGCCGTGGAGAAGGCCCACCACAGGGACCAGTAAAAAAGATGCTTTGAGTTGTAGCACTCCTTCAAATCTTGGAACCACTGCACGAAAACTCCCAAAGCCACATTTTGGGGTCTTGGGCTGTTCAACTGGTCTCCTAATTCTTTGTGACCCTTGTGAGTGTCCCCTAGCACAGCATCCCCTTGTGGTAGATTTTGAGGAGCTTCTTTGTTGGGTTTTGCATGAAAATACAAGCTCTTCTTGGGCATTGGTAGAAAAAGTGAGAAAAAGAAGGCCATGGAGGCAGAGACCAGGGATATGACATTGAGGTAAAAGTATGACAGGTTGGCTAGGGACACCAAGAGCTGGGCCAGCACGGAGGCGGCTGTGTAGGCCACCAGCGTGACGCTCCGGCAGTAGCCGCTCACTTTCTGATAGTGCTCTGGGCTGACCACGCTGTAGATGTAGGCGTAGTAGGCCACCTCGGTGGCGGAGGCCAAGCCGTAGAAGAACTCCAGCACCTGCATGGCTCTCAGTCCCTGGCCAAACAAGAACAGCAGCCAGGTGATGATGAAGCTGACCACTTGTAAGGTAATGACTGGCTTGTAGCGGACGTAATCGGTGAGGACGAACACGGGGAGCAGCAGCGCCAGGTAGGAGTAGGTCCACAGTGGAATGATGTTCTTGGTGATCTGCAAAGTGGAACAGGGTCAGGTCAGGAGCAAAACACCAGGCCCTGAAATGCACCCTGGGCCTCCTATGATCAGGATGACATGTATCAACCCCAGGACACATTGCTTGGCCTTTGACAAAGTGGATCTAATTTCACCCTTCACGTGAACTCCTGACCATACAATGGAAAGCAATGGGAGACTGAAATTCAGGGAAACCAACTGGAAAGTTGACGGGAGTCACCACACGTGCTTTCATACTGCCAGGGGTAAAAGACAGTGGCTCTTGCCATTAATTGTGCTGTTTGCTCCTTGTGCTCCTTAATCTTTTCTTATTTGTATTTTTGTAGTTAAGGTCTTGCTCTGCCACACAGGCTGGAGGTTGGTGGCCCAATTATAAATCACAATAACCTCAAACTCCTGGGCTCAAGCAATTTCCCAACTAATTTAAATTTTTTTTGTCAAGACTGGGTCTTACTACGTTGCCCAAGCCGGGGTCAAACTCTTAGCCTTAAGCAAT